CTCTGAAAGACCTTACCAACACTGTTTCCCCCTCCTTTCCCTTTTTACATATAAAAATATGTGTGTACATGGACAGATGCATGCACCCCAGGTCTCTCTGAACTGTAGTCATGTGGTTTGACGACCAATACCTCATACACTATGTCTCCAGCCTGTCCCCTTCATTCTCCTGTTGAGAGAAGGTCTCATGTAGGTCAGGCTACAATTCGGCTACAGAACAGAGATTGGTTTACCTGAGGGTTGCATGTTTCTACCACTCAGAGGCAGGGATTATGGGAGTGGGCCCCTATGCCACCTCTTTTTGAATATCTTTTGACAGGATATTGTTTCCTGTTATCAGGCTTTTGTTTGTTGTGTCTGTTTTGGAGTACTGGGATCACAAGTAGGGGATAAGGGAACTACCACAACTTCTATCTTGGCCTGGGCTTGAACTCCTAATCCTCCTTTCCCCGAAGGGAAGGCTGGGGTTAGAGGTGTGGACCACTGCACCATGCACATCCTGCATACAGAGATTGTTAAAGGGCCCAGGTGTGGTCTTCCATATCTCTAATCACTGTATTTGGGAGACAGAGTTCAAGGCCAGCCAATGCTACTTTGACAATTTGAACCCATCCTGACCTAACTGAGAGAAGGTCTCAAAAGAAAATAGGAATGGATATTTAGCCCACATAATAGGCTTCTCTTGGGGCATGAGATAGGGTGTTGATTTCACAAAACACTACTGATTCTGTAGAGCAAAGGGGCCTTGACCTCAGAGACAAACCCTTGGCTTTGCTTTCCAGTTTCAAAGTGCTCCCCCACTATGCCTGGGGAGAATAAAATCCTTCTACGTTTTCCAAGTTACTCTCAGGAGCAGAGAGAAACCAAGAAGGGAAAGGGGGGCTGGGGCACAGCTCAGGCCTCACTACCATCGGCCCTGGCCAAGGCTGAGCACTGCTCTTAAACTGGCTACCCGAAGAGTGCCTGCTGGGCCCCCCTGGGACCTGTAAGGCGCTGCTCCCCTGGAGAATAAAATTATTGATCTCCTGCCGCAGCATCCAGAGTGCTGGTGTTCCAGGAACGAACCACCACAATTCCCTTGAGAGCTGAGACAGGACGATCATGACTAGTAGGTTAGAATTGGCAACTTAGGGAGTAGAGAGGCAGCCTGGATTGTATGATAGTGTTTTATGAACTCAAAAAGGAAAACAGCAAGCAACCAAACAAAAACAGCCCCAAAACTTCACCCAGTATAAAAACACAAAATTAAAAACTCTGCCCTTTTGGGCTAGTGAAGTGGACCATGGGTAAAGTGTTATTGCTAATTTGATGACCTGAGTCCAATGTCTGATACACACACAGTGAAAGCAGGGACAGCTTGGTCTACAGAAACTTCTATGTCAGCCAGGCCTGTTACCCAGATAAACCCTGTCTCTTATCTGGGGGGTGGGGGGACGGGGAATAGCCACTCTCACAGCCTTGCTCCCAGCATTATCCATTCCCCATGGGATTCTTGGGCCTGAGCAGTGGGCTCACAGCGGGTGGTGCCATGCTACTGACAATCTGGTGACTTGCAGATTTGAAACCTTTCCAGCTAGAGTGATAGAAGTAATTCCATACGATAAAGTTTCACAAGACAGGAATTGTTGTCTCATTTGAAAGGAAGAGCTTGAAGTTTATATGAAGAATTAGTGCTTCAGAACAAAGAATTTTCAGTTTCGCAAATCCCAGCATGCAAGAGACAAAGGCTGGTGGGTCTCTGAGTTGGAGGAAGGACAACCTGGTCTAGAGAGCTCGTTCAGGGACATTCAAAGCTATAGAAACAAACTCTGCCTTCAGAAAAGAAAAAAAAAAGAGGAGTAAAGAAAAGAACTCTCACAGTCAATTCTTGATAGAAACCTGTTTTCATTAGGTATTGTTTCATATATATATATATATATATGTAAGATAAATAGAAAGCAGAATTTTTAAAGACCTTAAACTAATTTGGATCTCTATCTGTACCAATCTAATTCTCTGTAATCACAGATTTTGGTCAGTCTCAGCCTCTGAGTATGGAGAACAAGGTCTGATTTTGTAGATTGCTTTCTTGTCTTTGCCTCACAAAGATTTCTCTTCCCCTTCTCTCTCCTGACCTTTGACACTCAGCATTGCTTGATGCAAACTTATACTTTAGTTAAACTTACTATTTTAAACGTGAAGTGTACTATTGAAAAAATACTTTATATTATGTGAATGTGTTTTGCCTTTCTGTATGTCTGTGTACCACACGCATAAGTGCTTGGTGTCCCTGAGGCCACGAGAGGATTTTGGACAACATGGGTGAAGAGCTCTTTGTAAAAGCAGCAAGTGATCTAAATCATTGAGCCATCTCTCAAGCTGTTAATTTCAATTTTTTTTTTGAGACAGGGTTTCTCTGTGTAGCTTTGGCTGTCCTGAACCTCACACTGTGGACTAGGCTGGCCTCCAACTCACTGATTAATTTTAATTGTTAATATTATTTCTGTGGGGGCAGTTCACCATGTTTGGAAGTCTCCGGACAACTTTGTAGAATGTTCTCCTTCTTTGCCACTTGCTATAACTTCAGGGAATTGAATTAGGCTTGTCCTAAAAACACTTAACCTGCTGAAACACCTTACCAACCCTGTTTTCCCCTCCTTTGCTTTTTGCATGTATAAATATGTGCATGCATGGACACATGCATGTCCCCCAGGTCTCTCCAGCTTGTGTGTTCTAGATATGAACTCTACTCATGGGGTTTGATGACAAATGCCTTTATATACTATTCCCTCTATTCTCTTGTTGACAGAGGGTCTCATGGAGCTCAGGCTGCAACAAAAATAATAGGCTTGCAAACCCAATTCAAAATAGGCTTGCAGCCAGATAAAATAAATAATGTTAAAAAAACAACCAAACAAAAATCAGAACGTTCCAACAACAAGAAAAAAGTTTTCTTTTTTTTCTTTTTCAGTGCTGTCCTCATTGAGATTGCATGTTGGGTTTTTGTTTTTTTCCAGGAAGGGTTTCTCTGTGTAGACTTGGAGCATGTCCTGGTACTCATACAGTAGACCAGGCTGGCCTGGAACTCAGATATTTGCCTGCATTTGCCGCCCAAGTGCTGGGACTAAAAGTGAGTACCACCAAAGCTAATTGCTGGTCTTAAATGTCCCCTGCCTGTTGTAAAAATCCCCTGGCCCAAGGGATAACTGACAGAACCTGTGACCCCATAACCCTGCAAGGCCATGCTCTGTCTTATCATACTCAAACTAATATTGCTTAAAATATATACTTACTGCTTGACTCTAAAATAAAAAGAAGTTAACAAGAAGAGTAAAGCCCAGCTGGGCGTTGGTGGCACACGCCTTTAAGACAGCACTGGGGAGTTAGAGGCAGGCGGATCTCTGTGAGTTTGACACCAGCGTGGTCTACAAAAGCTAGTTCCAGGATAGCCTCTGAAGCCAAGGAGAAACCCTGTAAAGATATCAGCACAGACTGGGGAATGTGGAGAAACACACAACCACAAAGTCTAAATCCTGTGGCTGCAACAGGAAAAAATGGCTGGGGAGAGAACACTACAAATAGACAAATGGACTGGAGAGGTGGCTCAGAGGTTAAGAGCATTGACTGCTCTTCAAGAGGTCTTGAGTTCAATTCCCAGCAACCACATGGTGGCACACAAACATCTGTAATGAGATCTGGTGCTCTCTTCTGGCCTGCAGGGACACATGCAGATAGAGCACTGTATACATAATAACTAAATAAAAAATAAACAAATAGACAAATAAATAGGTATCTAGGAGTGGCAAGCTCCGAAGATAATGTCTCAGGGGTGTAGTGCTTGCTTAAATGCAGCAGGAATTGGATTTAAAACACAACACCTAAACTGGGCGGTGGTGGTACACACCTTTGATCCCAGCAGCTGGGAGGCAGAGGAAGGTGAGTTCGAGGCCATAGGATTGTGACACAGAGAAACCCTGTAACACAGATAAACCCTGTCTTGAAACACACCCCCCACACAAAAACAAACAAACAAACAAATAAAAAACACAATCAAACACCTAATAAACCAGGAGTAGTGGCTAAACCTGTATAGTCAACACTTTGCACATGCACACTGGGGGATCAAAGGCTTGAGGCCTTCCTCACATAGTGAGTTCAAGACCAGCCCCCATTCCAAAGAAAAGAAAACAAAAGGGAATAAAGAAAAAACAAGAATATAATGTGGGTTTGAGATAAGATGACCTTGAACTCTTGAACCTTCTGCCTTCACCTCATGCTTTCTAGAATATAGGCATTGCCTTCAGACAGCTCTATTTCCAGATAGTACACTATGTAGTCCTGGTTCTGCAGGATCTAGAGATACGCCGGCCTCTGCCTCTGCAGAATAATGCTTCCACCACGGAGTATGGCCTTGTTTCTTGGTTTTGAAAGGGGCTGGCCATGTATCGCTTTGATTGCTCAGTGTTGACAATGCAAAGTCAGCACATAAATCAAATATGTCACCTTGAGCTGGATGCAGGCATTTGGGGGGAAACTGTAAGGTAGCCAACCTGTCTATTGTAACCTTATCTCCTATCCACCCTGCATTGGTCCAAGGCCCTCTATCTGCCCCCAGGTGCCTTCTTCTTCCTCCCACCAAAATGTATAGAACGCTAGGAATGAAATATAAGTATTTTCAACTTTACCATTTCTAGGAAACTATGATAAGTGCGGTAAAGTCTTATCTTCGGAACTGGCCTTGGCTCACACCCTTCAGCATCTAAAATGGTGGGAAGTTTGAGATAAGATGCCTCTGTAAGGAGCTGGTGGTCATCCCTGGGATCTGTCACCTCCAGAAACATGGCTCCCTGAAAGCTGTTGGTACCCAGTTAGTGAAGGTTCCGGGCTTGAAACAGCCAGCACCTGGAGTGACTCCAGAGGCAGCAGCAAACTTTAGGAGACCTCGTTGGTTCCTATATGGACTGGTCCCCAAGCAGTGTGTGCCCAGGGGATGGTTCCTTGTTTAAGATAAATGGTTGCACGCTCACTTTGGCAGCACATAGATTAAAAGGAATGACACAGAGAAGTTTAGCACGGCCCTTGTGCAAAGATGACATGCAAATTCGTGAAGCATTCCATACAAGCAAACAAGCAAACAATGATTGCTTTGCAGAGAAGGAAACTTTGGTTCCCAGTACCAACATGGTGGCTAGCATCCACTCATAGCAAGCACCAGGCTTGTGCAAAAATACATGCAGTCAAAACATTCACACAGCCAGGCGTTGGCGGCGCACGCCTTTAATCCCAGCACTCGGGAGGCAGAGGCAGGCGGATCTCTGTGAGTTTGAGTCCAGCCTGGTCTACAGAGCAACTGCCAGGATAGCCTCAAAGCTACACAGAGAAACCCTGTCTCGAAAAAAAAAAAAAAAAAGACTTGGATTCTAGTCGGTGCTGGCACAGCCTTTCATATCCCAGCAGTCGGGAGGCACAGAGACGGGTGGATCTCTGTGAGTCAGAGGAAGCTTAGTCTACAGAGAGTTTTAGGGCAGCCAGGTGTGTTACACAGAAAAACCCTGTCTCTTATCTCAGGGAAAAAAAAAACCACTCTCACCACAACAACCCCCCCACAACCCGTGCGCAATCTCCTTGCGCAATGCGATTCTTGCACCTGCGCAGTGGGCTCAGAACCCGTGGAGCCAAGCGACTGGCAGCCTGCTGAGTTGCAAGTTGAAACCTTTCAAGCTTGATGGAAGTATTTGCTGTGAGAAAGTTTGACTAGGAAAAAACATTTGATAGGAAAAGAATGGAATTTATACCAAGTGATACTGCTTCAGGACAAAGATGGCAGTTTCGGTAAAGCCAGCAAGATAGACTCAGAGGCTGGTATCTCTGGGTCCAGGTCAACCTGTCTAGAGAGCAGTTCCGGAACATTGAAAGCCATAGAAATAAACCCTGACTCTGAAAATAACATGGAAGATTACAGAAAACAACTCTTATAGTCAATTCTTGGAGGAACCCCGTTTTTATCAGGTATTTTTTTGTCTTGATATATAAAATAAATAGAATGCAGAATTTTTAAAGAGCTTAACCATATTGGGTCTCCATCTGGACGAATCTAATTCTCTGTAATCAGGAGATGCTAGTCAGTCTCTTAGCCTCTGAGAATGGACCACAAGATCTGATTTTGCAGATTGCTTTCTTGTTTTTGCCTCAAAAGATTTATCTTCTCCTCTCTTCTGACCCTTGACACTCAGCATTGCTTGCTGCCGATTCTACTTGAGTTAAACTTACTGTTTTTGTTTGGTTGGTCGGTTTCTTTTGTTTTGGTTTGGTTTTTGTTTTGGTTTTTCGAGACAGGGTTTCTCTGTGTAGCTTTGGAGGCTGTCCTGAAAATCACTCTGTAGACCAGGCTGGCCTGGAACTCAGAGATCTGCCTGTGTCTGGCTCCCGAGTGCTGGGATTAAAGGCAAGCACCACCAACACCCTGCTTTGCTTCTTTTTTGGAGACAGTGTTTTACATGTAAGCTTGGCTGGCCTGGAAAGTTCAAGGTGGACTTTGCTGAGCCCCTCGAATGGTTCCTCTCAGATGTAGAGCAGGGAGTGGTGGCCTCACCCTTAATCCTGGCATTCGTGAAACTTAGGCAGCCCCCCTTTAATGCCAGCATTCCTGCCTCCCTAACCTGACGACTTGAGTTTAAAGCCTGTGTGGAAAGTGAGATGTGGTGATGCCTGAGTGTTGTCCTCTGACCTCCAAAAGCATGGAGTTTATGCCACATGATAGTGCTTCAGGACAAAGACTTTCAATTTTGGTAAACCCAGCAGGCAAGAGTCAGAGGCTAGTGGATCACTCGGTTCCAGTCCACCTGGGAGTTTTGTTTGTTTTGTTTTGTTTTCGAGACAGTCTTTCTCTGTATAGCTTTGGAGCCTATCCTGGCACTCGCTCTGGAGACCAGGCTGGCCTCGAACTCACAGAGATCTGCCTGCCTCTGCCTCCCGAGTGCTGAGATTAAAGGTGTATGTCACCAACGCCCTCCCACCTTTTCTGAATATCTTTTGATAAGATACTGTGTCCCGATGAAGATTTTGTTGGTTGTATGTGTGTTTGTGGCGATCTGGGATCAAATGTAGGCCCTTGCCAATAGAGGACAATTAACTACCACAGAGTTCTATCTTGGCCTGGGCTTGAACTCCTAATCCTCCTTTCTCCAAGGTCTGGGTTTAGAGGTGTGTACCGCCACACCCTGCACATCCTGCCTACAGAGATTGTTAACAGGGCCAGGTGCGGTCATACACAAATCTAACGTCTGCATTTGGAAGGACAGAGTTCAAGTCCAGCCTGGGCTACTTAGTGAATTTCAACCCATCCTGGTCTAACTGAGAGAAGGTCTCAAAGAGACTAGAAAGAATTATTAAGTCTATGTAATAGGCACAAGAGAGGTCTTTTGGGAGATGGGACATTCTTGTTTAATCCCATTTTTTTTTTCTAAATAAGTAAGGTCATTTGATATCCATCAATTTAATCTAGGTGTGTTAAGAGTTTTAAAGGGCGTTGGGCATTGGTGGCACATGTCTTTAATCCCAGCACTCGGGGGGCAGAGGCAGGCAGATTGCTTTGAGATCAAGGCCAGCCTGGTCTCCAGAGCAAGTGCCAGGATAGTCTCCAAAGCTGCACAGAGAAACCCTGTCTCGAAAAACCAAAAAAATAAAAAATAAAATAAGTTTTAAAGGGCATCTGGCCCTTGGAAGTAAATGTCTTCATTTACATGATGAAAGAGTCATCAACCACTTGAGTGGTTCTTCTAGAAACTCAACTTTATCAAAGAAGGGAATGGTGATCTCACCTTAATCCTGGCATTTGAGAAACTGAGGCAGCCTTCCCTTATACCAGCATTTCTGCCCTCCAATCCTCACTTGAGGGCAATGCCTGGCTGGAAGCAGAGGTCTAACTTTGGCCAGTGACTGTCCTCTGACCTCTACAGATAGGCCATTTTAGGTATGCCATTTAAGGAGGGTTTTCTTTTTTTGAAACTTTTTCTCTGTGTAACAGCCCTGGCTGTCCTGGAACAATTCTGTAGAGCATGGTGGCCTGGAACACAGACAAATCCCCTTGGATTCTCCGGAGGGGTTCAAGGTGTGCACAACTATGCATGACGGGAAGAATAGTCTTGATCTTACTGCCTTAGCATCAAGAGTGCTGTCATTCCAGAGAACTTGAGACAGAAAGATCATGACAAGAAGTTTAGAATTGGATCCATGTGGAACAGAAAGCCAGCCTGGTCTCTATTAGAGTGTTGTGTGAAATCAAAAAGAAAAAAGCAAGCAACCAAACAAAAACACCCCCAAAACTTCCAACACCTCAAAAATACTAAATGAAAAAACCCTGCCCTTTTGGGCCAGTTGAATGGACCAGTGGGTAAAGGTGTGGCCACAAATTTGAGGACCTGAGTCCAGTGTCTGACACACACTTAGTGGAAGCAGGGACTCACCTTCTGTAGGTTATCCTCTGACCTCACATACAAGTGTGTGCACAGATGCTATAGACATAAATATAATTAACAGAGTGGTCTGAGAGAAGACTTAGAGGGAGAGAGCACTCAGGGCCCTTTCTGAGCTCCAGGGTGAGATTCCCTGCACTCACACGGTGGCTCACAACCATGAAATTCCAGTTCCCTGGGATCTGAAGCCCTCTTCTGAGTTGCACAGATGCAGAAAATGTGTCTCACAGCATATACGTCACACATACAAGTAGGTAAAACACTCATACATAGTAAATGAAAAAGAGGAAAAACAAAATAGAAACCATAGTTTTAAAATAAGACTTGGACCCTGGTCGGTGGTGGCACAAGTCCTTCACCCAGCAGTGGAGAGGTAGAGACAGGTGGATGTCTGTGAGTCAGAGGACAGCTTGGTCTACAGAGGGTTCTAGGTGAGCCAGGCCTGTTACACAGAGAAACTCTGTCCCTGATCTGGGGGGAGGGGGGGACTCTCAGCCTAACATCCCCACCTCCAACCCATGCCC